AACACACTCTGCTGTAAAAGATCACGGCTTTGGGTTCAGGTTTGTCTTTCATAGTGAAGTTAAAAGTGAAAAGATCAGTTTGCTGTCTGCAAGAGGGTGAATTTAAAATAATGATTTTTAACCTCAGTTCTGTCTCTTTAAAATCAACAGGAAAACAAACACTCATTAACAACTCAGAATGCAGTTTCAGAAGCCTGTTATGGCAGTTTGTGGGGATTCTAAGATATTTTTCTTGTTAATTGAAAAAAAAATTGTGTCCGAGAACCACTCACCAGCTCCCTGCCTCCCCTCTCACTTCTTCTGCTTTCTGTCCACCCATTAGATGAGTCACTTTACTTGCTAGAAGCTGAAAGTGAAGAAAGGATGAATGATAATGTTTGTAGCTCCATGCAAACATTTTTTTTTAAATATATATATACGCTATGACCCTCCATGAGACATGAGTCAGTTGGCGTAGATGATCAGGTCTTCCTTTCTCCCACCATACAAGCAGAGCATCGTTGAAAGCCAGGCACGGAGTGAGACGTGTGACTGCTTCTTCCTTGTGTGGTTCGGTCTCACATCCCGCTCTCTCTCCTTTCTCCCCCTGTTCCCTTTCAGTCAGTCACGTTCGACGTTACGTCAGTCGTGACTGACGAATTGGGATCTCGCCCGAGAGCCCAATCACCTTCGAGTGTTAACTAAACAAGCCAATGACAGTTGGCGTGCGTGTTTCGCCACGCGTACCCCGCCCCGCAGCGCGGGTATAAAAGGAGAGCGCGTGCAAACGCACATCAGCTTTTCGCTTCGGAGCCGAGTCTTCTACTAGGACGAATCTCCGCGAGTGTCTGCAAAGAAACAGCCTAGCGTTGGTGTTACGGCGCGTCAGCGGGGGTTGCCATTCAGTGCTGCTCATCTTCGGCGTGCTGCAGCTGCCATTCTGCGGTCTCGCCGCGACCTCCCCTGGGCGCTTCAGCGCTCTCTCTAAAAGAGTGTTTCCTTTTTTCCTAAATGAGCAAATATCTAAAAGAGCACCACGAGCGACGGGCGTCTTTTTAAAGATGGCTTCCCGCTCGTGCGTTTCTGGATGTGGTCGTTTCCTGGCTTCATCTGATGGTCATGATCGCTGTGTCTCGTGCCTGGGCTTACAGCACGCTGAAGCAGCGCTCATGGATGAGTCATGTTCTCAGTGCGGGAACATGACCATCGCGACGTTGCGGTCTAGATACCTCCTCATTAAACGGGGGGGTATCCCCCTTGCCATGCCCCGCACTAGCTCCTCCGGTTCTCGGAGGGCTACTTCGGTTAATGGTCAGGGAGACCTGAGGGTCACGGTGAGAGTTTCCCCGTCGAGTACGTCTCCGCGGGCCTCTCATTCCTCAAGCATGGCGCACCACCTGGGGTTTTCGGACGAGTGTGCTGGGTCCTCGGACAGGGCGGGATCCAGCATCTTGTGCGGAGCACAGGCGGATGAGGCCCTGGGTCAGACGATGTCCACATTGGTGGTCCAGGAGCGCCACCTATGGCTGACCTTGGCGGATATGAGGGAGACCGACAAGCATCGCTTCCTGGACTCCCCGATCTCCCAGGCCGGCCTATTCGGCGAAGCGGTGGAGGGCTCTGCCCAACAGTTCTCCGCCGCACAGAAGCAGACAGAGGCGTCTCGACACATCCTGCCCCGGCGTTCGGCTGCTGTAGCCACCCCTCCGCCGGCTGCAGCCCCTCTGTCTGCTCGTCGCCGAGGGCGCCCTCCTGCGGCCTCCACCTCCGCTCCAGCTCGGCAAGGTACCACTGTATGGAACAGCAGTGCGGACACCTCTGCCTAGCCGCTGTCCTATCTTCCGCCCCAGCTGGTGTGGGGGGACTTGCCGGCTTCCGCAGGGCACTGGAGGGGGTCAGCAATAGTGGCGTTTTCCATACGGATCCCAATTCGTCAGTCACGACTGACGTAACGTCGAACGTGACTGACTGAAAGGGAACGTCTAGGTTACTTGTGTAACCCTCGTTCCCTGAAGGAGGGAACGGAGACGTTACGTTCCGTCGCCACAGTTGCTGTACCACCGCTGTACGGCCGAGGCGAGTAGTCTCGGCTCCTCAGCGAAAAACTGATGTGCGTTTGCACGCGCTCTCCTTTTATACCCGCGCTGCGGGGCGGGGTGCGCGTGGCGAAACACGCACGCCAACTGTCATTGGCGTGTTTAGTTAACACTCGAAGGTGATTGGGCTCTCGGGCGAGATCCCAATTCGTCAGTCACGACTGACGTAACGTCTCCGTTCCCTCCTTCAGGGAACGAGGGTTACACAAGTAACCTAGACGTTTCCCGTCTGAGCCTGAGAGATAAAGCTGTTTAATTACAGCCCTCATTTATGGCCATGATCCCCTGTCAGATTTGTTTGGCTCCCCCAGAGGACACGATCTGAACAGGCTGCCGCTGGAAGACCACGGAAAAAGCATCCCACCCCTCTGCCCGACTGCAGCCTTTGAGTGTGCGTGTGATTAAGAGGGTGCCGGGGAAAGCGAGAGCATTGTCTCGCTCTCTCTAGAGAGACGGAGCTTCGGTGTGTACAGAAGACTCCTGCACGCTGCTGGGATCTGTAATTGATGGGATAGTACTCGTACACTGAGACATCGGAATTCCAATTAAAATGAAAATCTGTTTTCGTATAGACACATAATGAACCTCAATCTCAATCTGCTGTGGCAGGAGAAATGGAAAAGTTATGATTGTATTTATTATGATTTTATCTCCCCCTTTTTTCTTTCACTTTTAATTATTTTTGAAATTATGAAGTTTACTCTAAGCATTATTTCCAGTTTTGTTGAATTAGATGCAGTGGGAACAGTTAAATGACTGGCTCATCCAAAAATGAGAATTCAGTCATTATTTACTCACCCTCATGTCATTCCAACCTTGTATGAATTTCTTAAGTGGAGCACAAAATGTAAATTGTTGGAGAATATCTTGCCACTTTTCAATATAATGAGCACTGAAACTGCCAAGCTCCAAAATGACAAAAAAAAGCACCTTAAAAGTGTTCCATACAATCCATGTTCAAGTCTTCTGAAGTCATATGATAGCTTTGAGTGAGGAACAGACTGAAATTTAAGTTGTTATTCAGTGAATAACAAATCTTAACACCCTCCTTAGCTCTCTTTGGTGCATTTGTGAAAAAAAAAAAGTAGCTATGATGAAGAAAAGTTCATGTCAGTATGAAATTGAATGAAAATAACCTATCTTTTCTAAATGCATCCTATTGATCTTATTGTGAATGGTTTATCCATGCATGTTTCCTTTTTAAGTTTTGTTTAACTTAAATTTTTAAAGGGGTCATATGATGCAATTTCAAGTTTTCCTTTCTCTTTGGGGTGTTACAAGCTGTTTGTGCATAGATAAGATCCCTAAAATTGCAAAGACTAAAGTCTCAAACCTAAAGAGATATTCTTTTAAAAAGTTAAGACTCGTCCACGCCCTCCTAAAACGCCTCGTTTAAATGTCTACGTCACTGTGTGGGAAGATTTGCATAACACCGCCCAAATGTTCACGCAAAGAAAGAAGGCGTAACTTTTATTCTCGCTGTAGTATTGTTGCCTCCGCCACCATGTCGTGGAGACGCTGTGTGTTTCGTTGTGAAAGCGAAACTACTTTGTTTGGCCTTCCAAAAGAGGACACAACTAGAAATCAGTGGTTAAGTTGTATTTACAATAGAACAGTTCAACGCAAATATTCAGATGTGTGCAGCGCATTTTATGGAGAACCGCTTCCTGAACCTGGGAGAGTAGCTTACAATGCTGTGCACAAATGTTGTTTCTATAAAGTGGGGCTTTATAGTCACATGCTTGAGGTATTCGGCCAATCACAACACACTGGATAGCTGGCCAATCAGAGCACACCTTGCTTTTCAGACCGATGAGCTTTGTAAAAATCGACCCATTTCAGAAAGGCGGGGCATAGAGGAGCAACAATAATATACAGTATGTGGAAAATAATGTGTTTTTGAACCTTAAACCGCATAAACATTTCATTACACCAAATACACAAAATAGTGTTCTTTTTAGCAACGTCATATGACCCCTTTAAAAGAATAGTTTGCTGAAAATAACTCTGCCTTAGGCCATCTAATATGTAGAAGAATTTGTTTCTTCATGGGAACAGATTTGGAGAAATTTAGCATGACATCACTGTCAAAATGATTAATTATGTGAAAAACTGTGTTTGTAATAAATTCATCATGATCTTTCTGTGAAACATCAGACTTCTCCAATTATTTAGTCCACTTAAGCCATGCTTTTTTTTTTTCAACAACCCGTTAACAAGTGTTAAGTGTTTGATGATTCAGTTCACAAAGAATGAGTTTGGGGCTGCTATATTTGTCTGCTAATTTGCACATACTCTCTTTTTGTTTAAGTGCCTGATTCACTGAACAAAATATGCAAATCAGTTAACGTTGTGAATACAGTCACAAAATCTCACAATTCAGACACCTGAATCTGTTTTTTTTGTTTTGTTTTTTTCTGGAAGTGTGCCTGGTTATAATGCTCTTTTCCATCATTTGATGAATTATGGCTGCAGTGATCAATGGTGAATGGGAAAATGTACATGAACATCTCTTTTAAAGGAAATTGCATTTACTATAATGATGAAAATTGTGCCAATCAAATAGCACGGAGTTTTGTGCATAAGCCACAATCTATAATGAGCCTAATTTACATAGAAAGGAAGCATGTTTGTGCTGAAAAGAATGACAATGACTTTATTTCAATACTTGCTGGCTGGTTGTAAACTTGATTGTGAGCAGTCAGTGAATAAGAAGCAGTGAAATAACGCATGCAAAAGTTTGTCCCTGATTCTTTACTCTTACACCTCATCTTAAGATAGAAGATCATCAAAACCAGATTGGAGATCATGAAAACAGAAGCGTATGTCCTGTCATCTCTGTTCTCAGGAAGGATGTGTGCTGATGTGGTGTGCAGGCAGTTCAGCTGTCAGACAGGAAGCTTGACAGTCTGTTATTTGTTTCAGGGCCTCCCACCATCTCCAGCACACAGACGCAGCAGGCTCTGTATGGGGAGAAGGGCCAGATCAAGTGTTTCATCCGCAGCACCCCTCCTCCAGACCGCATTGTGAGTTCTATCTATCCGTCCAACTACCTATGTATTCAGTGGTCAAATATTTCAGAGATATTCAAATCAACATTTAGTGGTCAGATATATCTCAATCATGTCAGTAATATTCAAATCTAGTATTTCATGTTTATTTACTTATTAATGATGTTAATAATAATAATATTTAGATACACTACTGTAAAGTTTGAGGTCAGTAAGATTTTAAAGAAATTAATACTTTAGTTCAGCAAAGGTGGATTACATTTTAAAACGGACAGTAAATATATTAATATTCTTAAAAAAACATTTATATTTCAAATTATGTTGATCTTTTCTATTCATCAAAGATTCCTAAAAAAATTATGATGGTTTCCACAAAAATATTAATCAACACAACTCTTATCGACATTGATAATAATAAGTAATGTTTCTTGAGCAGCAAATAAGCATATTAGAAGGATTTTTGAAGAATCATGTGCACTGAAGACTGCAGTAATTGCTGCTGAAAATGCAGCTTTGGATCACAGGAATAAATTATGTTTTAAAATATATTAAATTGAAGACAGTTCATTTAAATTTTGGTAATATTTCACAATATTACTGGTTTTATTGTATTTTGATCAAATAAATGCAGCCTTGGTGAGCTTAAGAGACTTCTTTCAAAACATTTTTAAAATCTTACCGAACCCAGACTTTTGAATGATGGTGTAATAATGTAGTTGTAAAATCAGGTCTCATTTTATATTTATCTGTTTCCTAATTGGTCAGTTCTGTGCCAGAATAAGTGAATAAAAGTAGTCCAGAGTCTGTCTATTTAGGTGAAAAACGGTTAAGAGGTGCAATGAAAAAGGTTTAATTATTTTTGACTTCAACGCGTTAAACAGATCTTTTAAAGCATTGAAGATCTATTAAAAAGGATTTATCGCTTGAGTGTTTGGGTTTATTTCAGTGAATTGAGTTTCTTTAACTCTGGTTCACACACTGTATGTGTGGGTGTGTGGGTGTAATTTCTAGATGTGTGGACTGTAAAAGAAATGTATATGAAACTTTAATGAAGGTACATGTTTTGTTTTGTTTTAAGTTGAATTCATTTTCTTTTTTTAATTAAATGTCTTGATTGAACTTAAAATGTCAAGTTGCCATGACTTATGCTGTAATTTTAACTCATTACAGTACTAGAGTTCAGTGTAAATTGTTTCCTGTATTTACATGGTTACAAACGGTTCATTTAATTATATGCCCAATCTTATGTTTTCTAAGGGAAATATACATTATGAAGACTAAAGTGCTCATTATCCTAAACTATTGACAACAGCACATGATCACTCACAAGGAGAAAAATCTTGTGAAATACCACCACACACAGACCTTCAACACTTGGTATATGAAACGATCAATCACTTTAAATAGAGGAACAAACTCCTCCTGACATCACAGGACAACGAGTGCTAATCAAATTGGCAAACCGTCAGACAGTGCAACCGTATTAATTATTCATGTCCCGATGCATGCTGGGAAGAGGCAGAATGGACTGAAGCTTTTTTTCAGCCTAGGACTATTTGAACCAAAAAGTGCATTAATTCAACTGACCTGCTGTGCTTGTGGGTTTGACTTTAAAAAACAGAGCATATCATAATAGCAAAACAGCACTGAGTTGCTTTACTTGTGCTCCTGGAAGTTGCAAGAACTTTGCAATAGAAAGTAAACCCATAAAATTGGGTACTTACTTCATAAGCATTATATAATTGTTTATGCTTATATTTTATGCAGGCATGGTCATGGAAAGAAACAGTGCTAGAATCAGGAACATCGGGCCGTTATACCGTGGAGACCGTGAGCACAGAGGATGGTGTCATCTCCACTCTCACTATGAGTAACAAGGAGTAAGTGAGCTCGTTGTTTCTACAGAGACAGAAACACAGAGGTGACTCACACCGCATGTCCACTGAGACACCCACCGTTTTAGACTCAACTTGTGACGCTGTGTTGCACGATGTAGCACAACTTTATCCACACATGCACAAAAGTGTTGGAGTATAGCTAATTAAAAGGAGCGCTGCTTAACTACTTTTTCCGTAGCATATCAGCTACTCAGATGTTGTCAAATTAGTCTTGTTTTCCAATAAGTTGTTTTTTCAACAATTAGCAGTGTAGCATGACAAAACACTACATTACTCTTTTTGTATTATATTGTATAAAGCCTTACAGCTGAGCAAACTCTCCAGGAAAGACTGAAATTAATATAATTAAATATTAAATAAATTATTACAAAAAAAGATTTTGCCATTTATCACTGTGTTTTTATTCAGTTATGTAAATAATGTAGTCTTTAATTTTAATAGTTGTTTAATAGTTATATATCACCATAACTAGATCCTCATTTTTAATCTAAAGAATTAAATAAAATGTTTTACATATGTACAGATTTACACACACACACACCTTTGTTAAAAAATTTGGGGTTGGTAAGATTTTTTAATGTTTTGAAAGAAGTCTCTGATGCAAGGCTGCATTTGACCAAAAATACAGTAAATCAGTAATATTGTGAATTACAAATTAAAACAACCGTGTTCTATTTTAATATGGTTTAAAATGTAATTTATTCCTGTGATGTAAACGCTGAATGTTCAGGAGCCATTGCCCCATCAAATCAATCTAATTTGCTTTGATGTGAATCCTATATGCTTTTGATTTGATTTGCTACTCAAGAAACATGTATTATTATCATTAATGTTGAAAACACTTGTGCTTCTTTAATGTTTTGTTTACTGTCAATTTACTGCATTAATGCTGAATGCAAATATTATTTTCTTTTAAAAAAACAGCACTGTATATATAAAGATTTATTCTTTTAAGCAAATCAGAAAACTCACTCCGCTTGTGACTTGCATTATTGTTTAAAGTTAATACCTTTCTGAAACCGCATGGTTAGTTCAGTGTAGTTAGCTACTTTAACCTGTAATGCAGCTACATGTGTTCAAAAAGGAGACTTGATAGTAGTTTAACTGTTTCAAGGTACCCGTAGTTTGTAGCTCGACGAGCCACATTTTCAGAGTAGCTTCCCCAACACTGTACCACAGAGTGACAAGGGCGCACATGCACCTCACTCACGTCTTTGTCTATCTGAGGTCTTTATTGTCTTATCTTGCCTTTCGCAAATTGCCTCCATTAGCAGCAAGCTCCTGCTCCTTACCAGCAGCAGCCTGACTTTATCTGGCCAGGACTGTAAAGACCTCATTTTTTAACAAGTGATATTTCTTTCTTCGCATGTTGTGACTGTGCACCATAGAGGACATGCACCTGGTGATGTCATCACTCCCAGTGTCCCTCTCTTCTCGGCAGCGAGAGCTCTCTGGCACGTTAAAAAGTGAAAGTAAGCCCTTCTATCACCTCTTAGCGGCCAGGTTCTGGGAAAATAGACGTGCATGTTGTTCACGAGTGATTGCTGCATGTTCGCAAGTGTGTGAAGGGATATTCAGAATCATGTCAAAGCTCAGCGAAGCTGTAGGATGTAGTGTGGTTCGCATCACCGTGGCTAATCAGAACGATTTCCACCAGATCTCAAAGGGGTTGTATCCGCTAAAAACGACATCAGAGTGGAGATTGTTCATAAGGACCATAACGCAACCAGAGAACCGGAAGAACACAGCAACATGAAGCAAATGATGGTGAGTTTGCACTCCTAACCTCCCTCTTCAGTTCTGTCTGACTTCCTTCACATCTGGTTCAAACATTCGTTTCAGATAATCTGATGTTAACAGCTCTGAATGCAAGTGTAAATTGCCTCCTATGGAGTATCAAAGTTAAGCTACATGGGTTTGAGTACATATGCACATGCTTTGAATCTGCAAGGTCAAAGCTTTTCATCCTGAAGATGCAAGATATAATAGTATATCTTTCTGTTGTTAGCCTAATTTTTTGTTGCTGTAATGTTTGTTGCTAGTAGATGTTGCCTAGATGCCCTCACATTATTAGTGGGCTGTGCAACTGCTCACAAGTGAGATGCATTGCCAATAAAAATAAGATTTAATTCTGTTTTACAAAGTAATATGTTTTTTTACTGTACAGTACATTCTGGTGAGGAAAGTGTTTGCATATAAATCACAGCAGTGCATAATACACCATATCACAAGCAAGATGAACAATTACCAGTGTATGAATTTAACTTGCTCAGAATGATGTCAGTTTCGACACTGTTTTCCTACAGATCATATTTTATCGTGCCTGCGTATCAAGTCTCAAAGAGGAAGGATCATGTCTTCATTAATATTAGTAGACACTGAAACTTTTGCATAAAGAATTGCTGCTCATTTGCATAAAGCTACACTTTTCTCAACCTTGTCGAGTTGCTGGACACGCCCACATCGCTGTCACATTTGACAAATTTCAATCACATTATTGCTGTAAAGGTGCGGTCACATTTACTGTTGCTTGGTGAAATTGAGTCATTCCAATAGGAATCTGCGAGTTTCGTGTGAGGGCGAAAAATTTGCCCATGCAGATTTTGCTCATTTTCGAGTTTCAAAGTACACAAAACTGCTCGGTTTTAAGGTGAGAATTGTGTGAGCTGTTATACATTGGACCAGTTTTTGCCCGAAATCTCGCTAATGTGACACTGTAAGTGTGAACATGACTTTTCTTTTAGTCTTCCTTCGCCTCTTCCCCTGCAGCACTCAAATCACAGTGCAGCACTGCAGCATCCTTGAACTCTGACTGGGTTCAGATCAGACCTGAGCTTTCAGGGAATTTCTGTTCTTGCTGGATGCTGAAATTCTCTTGTACATGCTTACAGGCTGAAATCAATACCAGTCACTGGTGCTTCAGCACACATCTACTGCATCATCTCACTTTCTCTCTTTCTGCTTTTAGATGGAGCGATCAGAGTTTCAGCAAGAGTCGGTGTTGAAACAGTTGGAGGTCCTGCAGGAGGAGGAGAGGGAGCTACAACACATTAAGGTGATGAACTGAGGGATGGAGAGACGAGGGGAGAACTCGGCAGGACTCACATCTGTCACCATTAAAGAACCCCAGAGAGTCATTTCTTCATCATACTCATAAAAAACAGATTTAATAGAACCGCCGCGTAATCTCACAGAATCTAATAAAGCAGAGTTGTGGGAACTCTCGCTCTCTGACTTTTTCAGAATTCCTTGCCATGTTCTTTTTCTTTACTGAGTCCATTATAGAAATGTTCACAAATGGACGTGTTGTCATACTGACTTGACTGCATGTCAGATCTCCAGAGCCCAAGGTTTCATTATATCCTCTGGTAATTGAGAAGTACTGGGGAATTTAGTCGAATGTGCATGCTAATTCGTTTAATGAATGCTGTTTGGCTAGACTTCAGTCTGGAACTTTTCAGCCTTTCAGATCATTTCAAAAGCTAAATTTTTCAAGGTCTTGTTAGGATCTTTGGAAATTGCACATTTAAGACAAAGCATCCATCATTAGTCATATTTGCTAAGGCCAGCATAACTAACCAGAAATGGAAACTTTGCTTTGTGACTGCCTACTGAGTAGCATTTACAGACAGAAACAAATTCATTAAGATCTTCTACTTTTCTTTAGATAAAAGTATGACTTACAATAAAAAGAATATCTTGAAATAATATATTTTAAATGGACTGTCTTGCAACAGGGTTTGTAAAACTAACCTACATCATTTAGAAAAAAAAATTACCCAAGGGATTTTAGGATTTTAGACTGCAACTTTGCGCGAGAGATTTATGAACATGTCTATTCCTTACCATCAGTATTAAACGTAGGTATGTAACTCGTTTGATTAACATGAATGGTGAATCATGGGTTTGCTGAACACAACGCTTCTTGGAGGAATGCAAAACCTTTGCAAAAAGAACACAAAGTTTCTAAGGGAAATAAATGCTGAACTTTTCCAAAGAGAATGCAAAGTTTCTCATGGGAACGCAAAACTGTAGCAAAGAGAATGCAAACTTTCTCAGGGGAACACAAAACTTTTGCGAAGATAATGCAAAGTTTTTCAGGAGAACACAAAACTTTTGCAAAACGAACTCAAAGCTACTTAAGGGAACACAAAACTTTTATGAAGAGAACGCAAAATTTATCAGGGAAATGCAAAACATCTGTAAAGCGAACAAAGTTTCTTGGGGGAATGCAAAACCTTTGTTAAGCAAACAAAGACTTTCAGCTGAATGCAAAACTTGTGAACTAAATACAAGTCCTGTCTACAAACTAGAATATCATAGAGACTTGGAAACGGACTCAGTCCAGTTGCTTTGAGTTTTGCACTGGCACCAGTCAAATTTTCTTCAGAAAATGTAAAAATCAAGCTGGTCTTGTTTTCTCCCAGCAATCACACCTGCCTTAACAATCTCTCCATGGCAGAACCGTCATCATCTCTCAGTCTTCGAATATTCCATTCCATCCAGTATGCTTAAGACATTGGCCCTCATTCAGAGATGTGCGGCCTTGACTCTGACAGCGGTGAAAGTGCACACCATACTGTTTTTTTTCCAGGAGTCCCTGAGTTATTTCACCTCAGCATTCCTACAAGGCCGCTAGGATTAAAAAGAGAAAGCGAGAGATATATGTTATCTATATAGAAATTGGCCAAAAATAAAATGTGAGTGAATTTTATGGAGATTATTTCGCATATTTAATGCCGACATGAATCGTCAAGGCCCATTTAATTAGCTGATAACAGGATTTGACTGTTTATGCTGGAGATGACTGTTTCACACCACTAAACCATGTAATCTTCTTAGCATGGGACAGTTATCAGTCTGTTTCCTAATTTCCATGTCACACTGCCTATAATTAGTGTGAGCTGAACTTGACCTTGGCTTTTTACAGCTTACAAATGCATGAGAGGAAAATTACAGTTTCCTTTTACTCTTTCTCTCGTTTTGCTTTTAATTCAAGCTGAAAGTACTGTAAAAGTCCTGTAATATATCAATAATTGTTTGCTAAAATGATGCTAACAGACTTTGGATAAACTGTTTAATTTGATGACAAGCTTCATGGAAACATCCAGCAAAATTCCCACAAACAGTGAGAAAAACAAAAGGACAAAGAGATTCATTTGATGTGTTAATGATTCATTGACTACTTTGAGGCGAGAATTCATTAAATGGTTTATTTAGCATGGCATTTAAGTGCAAAAAGCCTGTTTTGTCTTATTTCCCTCACATAATAAAAAAGGTAATTGTGAATTCTTATCTCACAATTCAGACTTTTTTTCTGCAATTCTGAGTTTATATATCACAATTCTGACTCAGACTCAGAATTGTGAGATATAAACTCAGAATTGCGAGATTAAAAGTAGCAATTACTATTTTTATTTTGTATTACTTGGCAGAAACAAGCTTTTTTTCCTGCGAATTCAGATTTTATCTCACAATTCTGAGTTTTTTCTCGCAATTTTAAGAAAATTTGTCTGAATTGTGAGATATAAACTCAGAAATATACGTCTTAAAAGTTGCAATTACCTTTTATTGTAGTCAGAAACAAGCTTTTTTCTCACAAATGTGAGTTTCTGTCTCACAATTCAGACTTTTCTTCTCAGAATTGCAAGTTTATAGCTCACAATTCAAAGGTCATGAGTTTGAGTCTCAGGTCCGGCAGGGACTGTAGGTGGGGGGAGTTAATGACCAACGCTCTCTTCCACCCTCAATACCACGACTGAGGTGAGACCCTCGAGCAAGGCACCGAACCCCCAACTGCTCTGGGTGTGTGTGTATTCACTACTCGCTGTGTGTGTGCACTTGGATGGGTGAAATGCAGAGCACAAATTCCCGAGTATGGGACACCATACTTGGCCACACGTCCTGTCCTATCCTATCCTGTATGTAGCCTATAATATATGTGCTGGCAAAATGCTGTGCCATGTAAATTAAATCATTGTCACTCTTTTTCCTATGGCTCATTTGCATAAAAAAATATGCAAATAATTCAATGATGGATTAAATGTATTTATGTCTCACAGGATCCGACCAACGGATACTACAGTGTGAACACCTTCAAAGAACAGCCAACCCCGACCATATCCCTGACAGCCAATCAGAACGCTGAGGTCCGAAACCCTGCCACAGCGACCCTCGGAAAACACCGCGTCCCCACCGGCATGTCTTACACCAACATTTACAACACAATGGGTGCCGGTCCCAACCGACTATATGACTACAGCCAGCGTTTCGTACTGGGAATGGGCAGCAGCTCCATCGAGTTGTGCGAACGTGAGTTTCAGAGGGGATCGCTCAGCGATTCCAGCTCGTTCCAGGATACACAATGCGACAACAGCATCAGCAGCTGCAGCAAGCAGGACGGATACGTGCAGTTCGACAAAGCTAGCAAAGCCTCGGTGTCGTCTTCGTCCCACTATTCACAGTCGTCATCCCAGAACTCCGACCTGACTCGACCCCTACAGAAACGAATGCAAACGCACGTTTAACTAGAGGACTGAACATCATACATGCTTTTGAACGAACACTAAAGGTGAGTCACCTGTGCTTCATGCATCATTCGTGAACAAATCCAAACGTCTCAAGCTTGGAAAGACATTACCGACATCTCAAGCTCATTTTTCCGTATATTTTGAAAAGTCACGTGGTTTTTAGATCTCATGTTCTTTATGGAAGACTTGAGAGTTTGGGAAATGAAAACGGGGGAAACCAAACCTTGGGCGTCGTTTCATAACTTGACAATCAGGAGTCCATCCACACAGTCGCCATTGACTATCACAGTGAGCCAATCTAATCTGTTCCATGCAGGAACTTGGAACTGTGGGAGAACCTCGAGGTTTGTGTTCATTTTTTTAACGAGGAGCCAAACTTGGGCCGTTTTGCAATTCTTCTACTGTGGCCCAAAGCACAAGGGTGTCTGTTCAATGCCAACCACAGTGTTTCTCTGCTGATAAAGAGATCTAAACGAGGATGAATTATCCTCCGGAGGTCGTTGCTAAGGACTCTGTAAGATAGATTTCACTTGTGTGCACAAAATCTCCTTATGTGGTCTCTCGTCTTTACGATTTCATGCTTTGTGTTTTTTTTTCCAACGCAATGCGAATGTGTAAAAACACACACGGCCAAACTGCATGTGTGGGGAGTTCTTCAGGAGCTTTGCTAACGTGGACAGCATAGTGTTTACATTAAAGAGACCAGAATGTAAATCAATACTTTATTTTCTCAACACGTACTAAATGTGAGCTGATTGTTTCAACACTTCATGGTTAATAAATCCGTTTATGTACGTACATGTCCTGTGAATTCAGACACTCTGTTGTTGGAAGCTTCTTTTATACCTCCAACAATGTGGTGGTGTTGTTGTTCTATACATCATTGCACATAAACTCCACATTTTGGTGGGAGTATGATTGAATTCATTTTTTCCCCACTTCTTATGATGTTCTGTTTAAGGGACCGTTCACATGTCGCGCCTAAAAACGCGTGGAAAATGCTAGGTGCGCCGCTTTCTGCTTTTTTCCAAAGCGTTCGGGCGCTTGTGCTCCGGAGGCGTCTGCCGTTGCTAAGCAACCATGACCTCCGCTCTCCATGAAGACTCGGGAGTTTCAGCAAAGGATAAATGGATTTGCAGCACTAAAAATCTCTTGCAGTAACTCTTAGGGGCCATTCACATATCGCGTCTTTTGCGCGCTCAAGTTCGTTATTTCAAATGTAGCCGCGCGGCAGGCGCGCTCATAATGGAAGTGACGCGGTCGCGACGCACACGCGGTGCGACGCGCTCATTTTTTCCAGGCGCTTCCGTGCCGCATCGAGATGAAAACATTTCAACTTTTCAGAATGCCGCAAGCGCACCGCGGGTCATGTGACAAGAACCAACCAATCAGCTTCATCCTTTCCCGTAACAACATTGAAAGCTCAGTCAAGATGAAGTAACAGCTGATCATAGCTGTACAGGGATAGCAATTTTTAAATAAATTTAGTAGCAGAGCTACTGCAAGCGATTTTTAGTGGTGCAAATCCATTTATCCTTTGCTGAAACTTCCGCGTCTTCATGAAATGCGCAGGTCATGGTTGCTTAGCAACGGCAGACGCCTCTGGAGCGCAAGCGCCCGAACGCTTTGGAAAAAAGCAGAAAGCGGCGCGCCTAGCGTTTTCCACACGTTTTCAGGCATGATATGTGAATGGCCTTTTAGGCTGCCATATATATAAGCTCACTGTTTTAAGTAAGCTTCTCTTTTCCGCAGCCCCCCTGAATGTCTGGCATAAACGTTTACATGGCGTAATTGATGCAGGAAGTGCCTCCCGTCGACGGATGAGCCTGCAGAACGTTCAGAGTGAAACTTTAACTCGAGCTGTGCATCAGAGCAATTACACTGATCAAATAATCATGATTACAAAATAAGTGTTGAATAAAACAGTGTGTGGGAAAGATGTTCTGTGGTCATTAAAGCTGAGGCGGCTTCTCTTTTTTTTTTTGGTTCATCTAACATTTTTTATGAAAGAAGGGGCTTCCTGTCAAGTCGGATTATAGCAACAGCAGGTCACCTCAAATGTACCAACTGAAATATGCATGCTGTAAAATGAATAGGTTTTGAAAGTTATAACTTAATTTAAAAATGCTGCTGCAATTAGTTAAAGGGATAGTTCACCCAAAAATGAAATCTGATGTTTATCTGCTTACCCCCAGGGCATCCAAGATGTAGGTGATTTTGTTTCTTCAGTAGAACACAAACGAAGATTTTTAACTCAAACCGTTGCAGTCTGTCAGTCATATAATGGAAGTGAATGGGAATCACGGCTTTGAGAGTCAAAAAAACATACACAAACAAAACCAAATTAAACCCTGCGGCTCGTGACGATACATTGATGTGTAAAGACACGAAACGATTGGTCTGTGCAACAAGGTTACTATAGTTTTGAATTTTTTAATTAGTTTTATTTTAATATCGTTTTCAAATTTGCTATAAAATTCAGTTTAGTTTTTATTAGTTTCATTAATATTGCTGTTAGTTTTAGTTTAGTTTTTATTTTGTGAACACATTTTTATTTAGTTTTTATATAGTTTAGTTTCAGTTTTAGTTTCAGTTTTAATTAAAGTTTAGCAGAATTAACAGATAGCTTCCAGAGCGCAGGCCAAAGAAAGACTTAGGCATAATTTATCAAAAATTATTATAATAAAATTATACAAATATACACCAAAATGAAGCAGTCAAGACTTTTTACTAAAAAAATCTACACAAGTTGTGCTTAATGTCTAATATGTGTATTGAGATATTTAATATGAAAATAAATGTAGCCTAATTTGGTTATGATGGTTAGATGTTTTTTTTCTTATTTAAACCTAATCATGATATTGTAGCCTAACTGTCGTGTCTTGCTCACTTTTGCGTGAACAACTGCGCATAAATCATAACTGGGGCTAATGAAATTCAATAATAACGGCAAACGCATTTAACTGTAAAGGCTCATATTTGAATATGCTCTTTTAATTTATGAAGAATTATAAGCATGTGTCTGATGTGATTTAGCCTATGCACATTTGTCCGAAAGCCTGGCAGAGTGATCACAAGACGCCAGGCTAAAGTTTTGTATTGTTTACAGAAAGGATGCTGGTTCTCATCTTTTTTCTGTTAATTATCACATTGCGCGTCTGTTTTTCTTCAAAGCACCAACTTAGAATGGCTAATTTTGGTTTGATTGCTTGTGTTACATGAGAAAATAAATAATTTTGCCTATCTGATTTAATAGATTTAATGCGGGTGCGGTTCGGGTCGCGACTCATTATTATGTCAGACGGATCTGGTCTAGTACAGAATTAAATTAGTGCTGCTGTTGGATAATGGGTCGAGTGTTTTGCGTCTGCTTTGCGTCTCTCCGTCAGATAACCCCATGTGCGCGATACACCATTTACAGGTATTTCCCTAAACTGCCACACAGCTCATATATTTTTCCGCCAAGGGGTGAGAACGTAGTGATTACGAAAACTATTATTTATTTTTGATAATAATTATTTTATTTCAGTTAGTTTTTCAATAACTGTTGTTAGTTTCGTTTCGTTTTAGTTTTTCAATTATTTTGTCATTTTTATTTTATTTCAGTTTACGAAATAGTTTTTTCATCAATCGTTTTCATCTTAGTTTTCGTTTATGAAAATAACCTTGCTGTGCAAGAATCTGAACAGTATTTATATTGTTTTTTACCTCTCCTATCCTTTTACCTTTACCGCCACCTATCTCTCAATTGGACCATTGACACTCTATCTACAATCTCAGTTAGGAGTGTCAATGGTCCATTTGAGAGATAGGTGGCGGTAAT